AAATATTGCATTAATTTTATCTGGTTGAAAAATTATGTTAATTATATATTTATGCATTCTTTGAATGATTGAACAGCAGATAATATTTTAAAAAGTGAAGTTTGAGCCGAAAATACCATCATACGCAAATATAGCTCAAATTGGTTACTGAAATGAAAGAAATAGGATATTTAGATCCCAAGGGATCAAGTTTTTGGCTTCTCGACAACTAAACAAGACGCTCCGAGAAATAAATTAGCAAATATTTAAATCATCTCCCTTTACAAAATCAGAACTTACACTGAAAAGGTAAAGCAATAAATTGTTTTGTATTTACCTTGGTAAAACTATTTTAATCACGGAAATTTATTGACATCTATGAAATTCTCTCACTGATTATGTCTAAATTTAATGAAAGAATAAAAAAAACTATAGAATAGAGAAAGTATGTATACCTAAAGAAAGGCTGCGGCGATAAAATAGAGAAAATAAAAAACCGCGATCCCTATTATTTTATGTTATGCCTATCAATAAAATACAAAAAGCAAACTCGCAGTTTTAATTGTGACAAATGAAAACATTGTATATAAAAAGTAGCAACGAAAGAAAAAATTGCCCGTAAGTTTAATGCAGTGTTGTGTTTGTGTACAGTACCTGAAAGCCCGTAAGTTCAAAGCAGTGCTGTAACTTATGTAAATAATTTTAAATTTTAAAAAAAAATGTTAAAAATTTCAGCAACCTCTGGCGTGGCGTAACTGCCCGTAAGTTTTATGATAATAAAATATTAAAACCTATAGTGGGGATGTCTGTTTATTTCTTTACTTCTGGTGGAGAAATGAACCACAACCTGATGAGACCTGTGGAGGGGTCGAAATAGGTTTCAATGTTTTTTTCATTAAACAAATACAAGCGTATAATGCATAACATCACATCTTTGTACTTTGGAATAAACACAAATATTTTTTTCTTATATGCATTAAAATATGAAAGTTTAAAGTTATTTAATTACAAAAAAGATTATAAACATGTTCTACATCGACACTACAGCTCGTTCTCAATGTCTTGTCGGTAAATCTTCATTACGCATGATCCCTGGTTTTTTCTTGTCGGTAATCGATTTGTTAAATATATTTTAAAACTAAATGGAATAAACACAAATATTTTTTTCTTATATGCATTAAATATGAAAGTTTAAAGTCTTAAAAGTTATTTAATTACAAAAAAAAGATTATATACATGTTCTACATCTACACTACAGCTCGTTCTCAATTTCTTGTCGGTAAATCTTCATTACGAATGATCCCTGTTTTTTTCTTGTCGGGTAATCGATTTGTTAAATATATTTTAAAACTAAAAGGAATAAGCACAGATATTTTTTTCTTATATGCATTAAAATATGAAAGTTTAAAGTCTTAAAAGTTATTTAATTACAAAAAAAAGACTATATACATGTTCTTTCTACACTACAGCCCGTTCTCAATTTCTTGTCGGTAAATGTTCATTAAGCATGATCCCTGGTTTTTTCTTGTCGGTTGCATATACATTCATGCAATGTCATGAAAAACTATTTTATGACTACAAATAAGGTTGAAACATGTTTATAAGATATTCTGACCACAACTTTTGCAACTGATTATATTATTTATATTATATTGAAAATAACCAATCTTTCTTGTCGGTGTCAACGTAACAGTAACAGTACGCGTTACACTCGAATTTTTCTTGTCGGTACGCATACATTTAATTTTCTATAAAAATACAAGAAAAACCTTATCAAATATGTAAAATATATATGCCCTGCATGTTTAACAATCATAAAAACACAACATCTGTACTTGTTTATTTGTAATATATAGGCTCTTGTCGGTTTCTTGTCGGTTCCTGACGGTTCTTGTCGGTAATTAGGGAGACCCCACATTAAATACACCTCAGATTTTCTGATATAAGCAGTTCAGTTAAGGAAAACTAGCAGACAGGAACAAGCACAAACAGAAAAAATGGCAATATTTGCCTAGATTCACAAATTCATTTCTGTATGGAATTAATGTACATGGACATTTAAAACATGTACGATACAAATATTTAACATATATTATTAGTTATAAAGATCGTTGACAGGTTATATGGCCCTATATAAACGGCTATTTGTAAATATAACCCGAGCCGTTAGGCGAGGGTTATATTGCAAACAGCCGTTTATATACGGTCATATAAGTCAACAATCTTTATAACGAATTTATAATACAGCAAGCATCATTTTTAGAGAAAAAAAAGTAAGATTTCTTCATGAATCGACAGCAGCCGTGTATATAAAACTATATAAACGTCACGATTATCCAATGAAAAATGACGTTACAAACGTGCAGTATTATAAGAGAATAAATAAGCCATGACATGCACACCAACACCAAGGACAGCACAAACCAGGAGTATCTTTAAAATATGCGGCCGAAGTAAAACTGGTTAACTTGCATATGTTAATTCTAAGTTTTACATGCAAAGTCATATAGCAATGTTAGCATAGCCTGCATAACAATGACGTAATAATTTCTTGTAGGGTTATTTATCTTGAAAAATGGAACACCTTAAGATGTATGTGTTTCTAAACAAACCTAGCTGTTGTGTTTCGATAAGTGAACTAACAATTACTAACACCAATTATTGAGAATACAAACTATTCACTAGAAAATGTAATGACATCTAAATGCAAGAAGTCTTGTGAAACAGAACGTGAATATCTGAACAATTCAGCTAGAAAGTTAAAGAACTGTTCTGTACATTTTAGTTTAGAACTATCAACTATTCTTTACATCTCATTTTAATGGTTTACATTTCTGTTAAGAACTATTTTAGAATGACAAGAAGTATCCTTTACATTTTATTTTAGAATGGCCAATGAGATTACAAGATTTCATTTCGTAATTTTAAAATGATCTATGAAAACTCCTCTTATATTCAGTTCTTCCCTGTAAATTTTACAGAAAGTCAAACTGAAAACAGACCGGTCTTTGGCCAGAAAAAAGAAAGATTATTATTTCCATTGTGGTCCCCTGTGTTGGTGGCATGACGAAAAGAGAGCTTTTTCCAGTGCAAATATATACTGTCATTCAAATATTATTGCAGTTAGATTTCAATTATTTTAAAAGTTTGAATACAATTATAGCATGGGAATCAATATACTCGGAAGTAATTGATAAAATTAATAAGCATTAGACATTTTACTTTAAGATAAACTACAATAAAAACAAATTATCATGATATCAGACACACAAACTGCAACCTATTACCGAATCCTTTGGCTGGAAACCAAGACGTAAATATAAAATGAGGAAATGAGAATTTAAAATTACTATTACTTAGACTAAAAGAAATGCATCATTGCATATTGGATAAATAACGTAAATCACTAAATGACAGATGTTATAAGTTAAACCATTCCTAGACCGAAACAACCTGATGTAAGTTTAAGAACTCATATAAAAATGTATTTTTCTTAAATGTTCATGTGGTACTTCTTAACAGATATCTTGAAAGAAGGTAAGCTAACTTTTTTCACAACGAACAACCCTCAAAGCAGAATAAAGAGCTTGGAACCAAAACCTTTGACCTTTGGGATTGCTAATAAACCATTGTTACTAAAAGCTTCGTCTTGAAAGAATGAACAGTGACCTATGGTATGAAATATTCTTCCATGTAATCTAGAGTTAGAACTTTTTTTTACTTTAAAGAAACTCAGCTAAGGTCAAAAGCCTATAAGCATGAAATTTCAATTTCTTACATAAATCAGCTGCGGCACTTGAACAGATGAAAAAGCTAATTTAGAAATGTAAAAGAAATAAATTGAAAATCGTATTTTTATTTTATTCTTAGCCCGATATGAGTGAAAAGCGTGGCAACGCTTTTTAATTTTGGATCATTTTTCACAATTAGAATAATTATTTAGGAAAACAGAATGATCTGAAATTTCGCACACATGTCATTGGTATAAGCATGCATGAGTCTCTGTGTCGTATATGAAATATATTTAATATGATGATTATGAAATTATGAATAACAAATATACAACTTAATATGATTCCGCTTATATTTCAATATCTCTATTATTTCAATTAAACCAGAGACATAGATAATATAGAGATAGGCAACTTCCTAGCCAGTTAAAATATCACACACGCTTGCTAAACTTAAAACTTGTAGCAAGTAAAACTTATTAACCAGATATCAAAATCAGTAAAATAATACATTTTCTGAAAGCTTATACATTTGTCTATGGCTGCAGGTAAAAACATTTACAGTTCCCATTTAAATAAATGACATATCAATGTTGAAAGAGAACTACTCATTAAATTTTGTTGTAACAAAACAATTCATATGATGAAAAAACTGGCTCAGTGGGTATGTTCTGCTATGTTTTTCTAAGTGAATTTGCTAGGGGGGTTACCAATATTTTAACACACAGCAATAGATAAAAGATTTAACTTTCAAATGGTGTATAATATAAAAGGATCAAATGTACATCCATTAAGTTTTATTTGCTACAAAATGCCTAATTTTTCACTCTTTTGATGGGCATGAGTGATATTTCAGTGTGTGTGTGTGTGGGGGGGGGGGGGGTATATAGGAGCTGCTTTAAGTATCTCTTGTTATCTACATCTCTGATTAAACTTGAAAAAACTGTCACTGTTTTTCTAACGTCCTCATGTACATGATAGAATAAGGGGTCCGAATGCCTGGTCAATTTAATGGGTGTCTAAGAGAGACGATTTATCCACGAAACTAGTTGACCTGACATCGTCATACAGATGTAATTGCCAATATAATAGTAAATTTATTTAAATTATATCTATGGCTTTCTGCATTCAACCTCAATGAAAAAGTCATAAAATGTCAGCTTAATTCTATATTCACCGTATAGACTAGCTGTATCACAAAAGTGTTTCAAAACACAATCGCAACTTTTCGGTATTTTCAACGATGAATCAATCTTTTCGTTTTTTGTCAACCTATCGGGACATAAATTTTAATTTTGAAAGCCTTTAGTGACATTGATTGGATAGAAAACGAATTTAAAACATTTTTTTCTTATTTTAAAGATAATGGAAGGTATTCTTTCATATGACAGTGACAGTAGTGATAAAAGTGAAACACCAGAAGGTGAAAATGCTGCTGCAGAGCTATTTTCACATCTCAAACCAATAGACAAATCTAACTCCGTTTCCAATACGATAGCGTTGAACTCAACTCCTGTAGTTGTCCCAACGGTATGCCTTTTTATATATAGGTCTACATCATACTGCTTTAAAATCGATTACGATCACTCTAAGCAGGTATACATTGTAAACATTTTTAAGAGACAGATATGAGATACTAGAGAATCAGGGAACCAGTCCCTAGCTCTAGACCCCTTGGTTCTTTTAAAATTATGCCCAGTGTATAGCACTGATACATGCAAGGATTACCCAGATTTCTTACCAGTACACCTCTAGGTAGGTGGGAAACACTGAAAGTGTCTCTGAAAAATCCCAAAGTTTATAATAACCCAGGATCAAACCCGGGACCTCAGAGATTCAGAGTCAACTCGTCCCCTAGTCAACTCGTCCTCTGGTCAACTCGTCACCTTTTTGGTCAACTCGTCCCTTGGACAACTCGTCCCCTGGTCAACTCGTCCCCTACTCGTCCCCTATATTAATTATTATTTGTTTTTCATATATTTCATAAATTACTATAGACTTTTAAAATAACATATTATAAAATTACTGAATTGGACATATTTTGACGCTTTTTGTATGCGAATATTTGGAGTAGATATATTATCTAATAATAAGTACTATATATATGCATAATTCTGATTAAATTACATACAGAAAAGAAACAACACGAAGACGATCAACAGCAATAACATTTAATGTATAAAACATGTTTCATATGCAATGATAAAATATCATAATATTATAGTATGTTTTTTTTGTCAATATTATGTCATATATATTCACTTTCATTGTTTTTTTTTCATGCACATATTTCATTGTCTTTTTTGTTCTTTTTGACATCTTACGACTCTTGAGGCTTATATAAGTTCCTGAATTCTCTAAGAAATCCTGTTGATGACAACTCCCCATTCCTGTCCCACAGCTGGTGCGTCTGGCCCTGGAGAAAGGTGTATTTTTTCCGTTGGTAGCGGCGAAGTCTTCCTTCACTAACCAATTCAGAGTTCCTTACCGCTACCTAATAATAACAAATAAAAATTCTTTGAGTGAGGATCGAACCTACAGTGGTGAGGGACCTGTGATCTCAAGTCAGCGACTTAAACCACTCGGCCACGGAGGCCCCTGAATAATTCTTATATTTATCAGGGCAGCTTTTATATTGACAATTTCACAACAAACAATTATCATGTTTTTAATTGACACGATCCTTCTATAATGAGATCAATACGCACCGACATAAAGTCTTAAGCACTTCTAATTTCTGTTAATTTGTCGTCAGTCTTTAATCCATTCAGGGAGGCGGTAAAAATTTAAAGAGTTGGACCTAATTTTAGTTTTAATTATCATTAAAACTCCGATTAATTAAACATTAATTGAATGTTTGCAAACGTACCTGTCTTTGTAGTTTTACATCAAATCTATGCACGTGCGCTTAGATGAAGATCATTAAAATTTAACGTAAAAAAGACGTTATTTTATTAATATTTCGATATCAATCAAATTCATTGTTTATTTTACATAAAAGAACTATTTAAAGACATTGATTTACAACACAATAGTGAGAAATAGGTCGAAAGTAGGGGACGAGTTGACCGTATTAGGGACGAGTTGACTCTTTGAGGACGAGTTGACCAAAAGTAGGGGACGAGTTGACCAAAAAGGTGACGAGTTGACCAGAGGACGAGTTGACCAGGGGACGAGTTGACCGGATTGCACCTCAGAAGTGATAATCAGCGGGCAACCAACTGAGCTATCACACCACCACATAGAAGTAGAACTATTTCATGCATTGCTTCTGTTTTCACTTGGCCACCCAAAAAGTTGCAATTATCTGTTATCGGAGTACCTCGCTAACATTAAAACTGGCTGTGACCAACTAGAACTGACACTGGAAATTTCATTTTAATGTATAGAATTCTATATATATTTAGGAAGTGGCTAGCCGTACGGGCCCGTATGACTAGCCAAAAGTTCTAGCCTTACATGAGTCACGTACGACTAGCCAGGACTCACTGTATTGTCTAGCCGTACGGCACTTTTCAAAATTATATGGAAGTCGAACATGCATATGTTATTTTGTGCCTCATGATTATGATTTGTTGTTTTATTTGTATGAAAGATGAATTTTTGTTAATTAAGCACATGGATCGAATAAATAATGATCGGAGTGGGATAAATAAAAAGAACATTGAAAAAAATGGTGAAAAGTTAAACTAATTGTATAATTTTCAAATACAGTAGGTAAATATCGAACATAAAAGCACAATCAATTATTTAGCCTTAATTAAAGCCTACCAAGAGACTGACACTAGAATTTTAAAATGCGTTTCACGGAACATGCAAACTTTCCTTAATGATGGACACACTTTTTCGTTTTTTGTTTCATTTTAAAGGTGTCGAAAATTAAACTTAATGAAACAAAAAAGGACTATTATCAAAATTTTGTAAACTATTTCAATTGGTGTTATTTAACTGCGACCAAACTGCTATTTTTTCTCGACGTCTTGAGATGACAAAGATCGATATTCATACTTTTTTTACTGTAGCCAACAATTAAGGCGATTAATCTCTTAAAAGTAAACATACGAAGACAATTGCTGTTTCTTGGTTAAAATCCTCGCTTAGTCATAAAATAACATGCATTTTCGACCTCCATATAATTTTGAAAATGCCGTACGGCTAGCCAATACAGTGAGTCCTTGCTAGTCGTACGTGACTCACGTACGGCTAGAACTTTTTGCTAGCCGTACGGCTAGCCACTTCCATATATTTAATTGCATACACATGTTTATATGTGATTTTGCTTCAAATATACACATGTAGTCTTGAGCTGGGCAAGCCAAAGCCTGGGCCCGCTTTGCAGCCTCGGCCTTTAATTTCCCCCATATTAATAATTTTATACTGGGCAAAGCCAATGATTATGAATAGGCACAGTGGCGGATTCAGGCCCGGGCTTCAGGGCTGCAGCCCCCCAGCTTGGCCCAAAGATACGTTTACCAGCTGGGCTGGAAAATATTTTTGTCAGTTTCAAACTTTATTGGCTGAAGTGTACCCCCTTAGCAAAACATTAATTGCTGTCATCCAGCTGTTAGATGGCTCCTGCCTATGGGAGGCTTGGCAGAGATCTAGTTTTATCTATTAAAGACATGGCTGTTCAAAATGACATTCGAGTATGGGTTAAAATAGCTAATATATTGGATATTGGTTTAGTTATATACATGCTTCGACTCAAGGTACATAATGTAATAATATGAATAGTCACAGGTAGTGGCAAATACACTGTAGATGTGTTACCTTGTACACCATATTTTACTATCTTTGTTTTTCAATTTTCTTTTTGAAAGCCCTAGCTATTATTAAACAATTGAAAATTATTATTTGTAAATTAAAAACATGACAAGTTTTATGAAGATTATACTAAATGAATTGCGTTTTAAATCATAATAATAACAACCATTTATACTAAGATTTTTATTCAGATTAACTGATTGGTCATTTGCTTTTAATAACTTTTTTATTGCAGTTATATTTTTTAAATAAAATTTAAATTGTACTGACCCCTCTTAGTATCTAAAATGGATTCATAAATGGAAAATTTTTTTATTGAATATATGTGTTTGAAATCATTTTTTTTTACAATTGAAAGGCAGTACTTTAATATCACTTTACTTTGGAAAATCGTCTATTATTCAGAGGAGTACATTGATCAAGTGTTTAAAAATTATTTTTATCAAAAGTCGCGCAAACATTGGTTAGTGTACTGTTATTTTGTAAATGTTTAATACTAAATACCAGGGGAATTCTATTTGAAATACCCTGCAAACACAAACCTGTAAAACCATCCAAAAGGTATCATAAACAGCACTAGAAAGTCAAGGAAATAACATCATTTCAAAATTTTCTCAGTCTATGGGTGGGGGCACCCCTCCCAGGCCGCCCCAATTACATATATTTTTCTTAATTCCATATCATCTAAATATTTGCGGAAATATTAGTTTACACATTTATAAGCGAAAGTACATTGCTACTCATAAGATGAGCTATAAAACACATAAATTACAATTTTTGTCACATGAACAAAATATTGGCCCTATCTTCAAACATGCACAATTTTCGCCTGTTGCATTATTTTTGTCGAAATCTTCCACCCAAATGTCAGCCCACCCAGGAAACCATGTTCTGTATCCGCCCCTGAGGCATGTCATATCAAAAAAATTCTTTTTTATTATTTCCTTGACAGTCCAGGGCTGTAGCAACTGGGTGATTTGGGCGACTAAGTCGCCTAAAGTTTTTTAACTTCGCCGAGTTTGAACATCAAAGCTAAATTTACTTCACCATGCTTTTTCACTTTAAAGTCAGAGGCAATGTTCTTTGAATAGCAGTTGCAAAGAAAAACAGATTGACAGTTAGTAAATTCATTAAAACTGAATCATATAAACAATTGTAAATGCAACAAAAAAATGTAGTAAGGATCTGTAATTTTTTGTTGTTTTTTTTGTACTTTACTCACAACATTAATATAAACAGAGGTGCGGAATTACTATGCCCGACTAGGGACTTTTTGCCAGGGGACAAGTAGATTTTCACGTAGCAGTAGTCTGCAGACAAGTGAATTTCTGAGTCAGAAAAAAAGCAAAATGCCAAAATACTAACTGCACTTGATTGTGAACTAATAACTGTATTTGATCCTGAATGTTAACTTTTTACTGATGTCGTTTAATCTGTATTTACAATGTGTTACTTTTATCTGTACACCATCTCCAATGGCACAAATAAATGAATACTATATGATGCTATTTCATACTGTATGAGGCCTCTCGCTTCCATTGGAAAACAAGCTTTGCCAAGTTTGTCCTACAAGTAGTCAAAATTGATTACATCTTCAGTCATCAATGGCCTTGACCTTGAAGGTCAAATTTATGAATTTTGCTTGGTCTTTTGAGTAAATTACAATATTTATGAACAGATTTTCTTCATGCTTGAGCACAATGTCTTAAAGTTGATTAAACTCAGTTTGACTTTTGACTCATCAATTATCTTGACATTGAATGGTTGAAGGTAAAATATTTGTAATTTTACAGTTTTAAGCTATAGTTGGCTAAAACTTGTAATTAATGGGTGGATTGTCTTCGTACTTGTGGGAAGACATTAAAGAAGATTTAAATGACCTTAAGTTCCTTAACCTTAATTTGACCATGACAATAAAGGTCAAATTAGTGAATTTTGCAATAATTAGCCATGCAATATATATATGGATTTGATTTAACTCGGACAAAAGAAGCTTTATTACAAAACTGACAGGTTTAGTTTTTGAAAGTGGAATTCAAAGTGGAAACCACTTGCATCAAAACTTTTACACATACAGACTTTGGCTTATGAATCACTTTCAATTAAATGACAAAATTTCAAGCAGCTGAGCTACAAAATAACATGCCAACTTCCATTTTTCACAATAACAAAAGGTCATAACTTTGTCAAGTTATAGAACTTTGTTTACAATTTTTTAACAATTTAGAGCCCATAACTGAGTGAATTCGATAATTTGTCAAGGACAAGAATCTTGGCCAGGAACATTTATGTTTAAGAATTTACAGGGATTTTTTTTGGCTTATTTTAAAACTGGTATTGGGTCATAGTCCCTACTGAAAATAGTATATTATTTTCCCAGTCCGCAGGAAAAAATTCCCAATTGAAAGTTACAAAATAAAAATATTGAATAAAAATTCTAAAATCCTTGCAAATAAGGGCTTCTTCACTGTAATACTGCTTAAATGTTTGAAGATGCCATCCTAGAAGTAATTGTTTACATCCATTTAATCATTGCAAAATTTCAGTCGTGCATTTTTTCCCAATTTTTAACAAAACACCGCTGAAATTCCCAATTCCATGGGTATCGGTCATGTCAAAAATCCTGGAAAAAATCCCTGCCAAAATATGTTCATGTTTAATAAAGCTTACATGTATTCTTCAATAAAGTAAAGCCAGTATGATATTTCATCAGGGAATAACCAACATGTATTATCATTAGTTGGAATCTGGTTTTGTGACAATTTCCTGTCGCTTGTTAAGGAAATATCATAAGTTATGTTGATTCATATAAAATTGATGATTTAAGCAAAAGAATATGTTTTTATGTCTTTAAAAGGGGTTATACTCTTTGCCTACTTTCCTTTAAACCAAACAAATCTGTCAGTTATTAAATGTTTTGCATGGATTAATTTTCCTGTAATTTAATTTCAGGAGGATACAAGTGGTTTGCGACATTTAGATCCGAAGATAAAAGAAGTGAAATACAACCCAAAATATGATGAATTATATGCACCACAGGTATGCTAACAATTAAATGTTAATAATCGTCATACCTAATTTCTACCTGTATATATTTTGCCACTTATTTTTCTTATACTTTTATAGTAAATACAATGTACACCAATAAGTCACAATAGATTGAAAACTGTACTAAATTATAGGTGTGATATGGTGGAAATAATTTCATCATTTTAACAGATGAATATGGTGTTGAAATAGAAGAAAAGACAATTATTTATTATTTCATCTGTCATATACATGTATTTTGACAAAATTATGTCTTTTTTTCGACTTAGAGTTTAAAAGGCAGGTAACGTTTTTAGCTCGACTATTCGATAAGAATAAGTAGAGCTATTGCAGTCACCCGAGCGTCGGCGTCCGCGTCGGCGTCCGCGTAACCACTTATGTTAAAGTTTTTGTAATAGTTCAAATATTTTCAAAGTCCATTGACATATGGCTTTGAAACTTTGCACACTTGTTCACCATCATGACCCCAACCTGTAGACAGGAGGAGGTAACTCTATCAAGCATTTTGACAGAATTATGCCCCTTTTTCGACTTAGAATTTATGTTAAAGTTTTTGTAATAGTTCAAATATTTTCAAAGTCCATTGACATATGGCTTTGAAACTTTGCACACTTGTTCAACATCATGACCCCAACCTGTAAACAGGAGGAGGTAACTCTATCAAGCATTTTGACAGAATTATGCCCCTTTTTCGACTTAGAATTTATGTTAAAGTTTTTGTAATAGTTCAAATATTTTCAAAGTCCATTGACATATGGCTTTGAAACTTTGCACACTTGTTCACCATCATGACCCCAGCCTGTAAACAGAAGGAGGTAATTGTATCAAGCATTTTTTTTACTATCCAGCACTAAGAATAGTCGAGCGTTGCTGTCCTACTGACAGCTCTTGTTTGTACAAGTACCCCACTTATTTCCTTAACCCTTTGAGTATTGCTTTAATACTTGTTAGTGACCATCATTTCTATTTCCAGGCAAGAGGAAATAATTCTATCATGGATTTTGACAAATTTTTATTCCATTTTCGACTTAGAATTTCGGTTATGTTTTTTGTACCACCCCACTTATTTCCTGTACACTTAAAGGTATTCCTTTAAAATTTTAATATTTAGTTTTCATATTTGAATACTTGTTAGTGACCATCACCCCCTTTTTTCAGGCAAGTACTCGGTACTTATAATAGTTTAGCGCACTGTCTTACGGACAGCTCTTGTTCATGTACTATATTATATTTTTGATACATAGATTGGACCAACTAATCCGTATAAAACACAGCAATTTTCTGCTACAAGAAACAGTCTGGCAGGGTATGTAGAAGATGCACATGTTAACAACTTCACATTTGAAAATCAGAGAAAAACATTTCACAGTTATGGTAGGTGTTGACATTACATTACAGTACAATGGTTACTTTCATGAAAATAACCTTGATAAAATATATACATGTAGAATTTGAATTAAATTAGTACTTACTAGGATTCTCACTATTATTTCATTTATTATTTATTTTATTATTTATTGATACATCATTACGTGTAGACATGTCTTTAAGCAATTTATAAATTTTCATGCATATTAATATTTGTTATACTAAATTTTGCTTTAAAGACCAAAAGCCTGTTTAAATTATTATACTGTCACTTCTATTTCTGCACACTTTTGTTTTTTTGTTGACTCTCATGCCATGGACTTTTATTCAAAAGAATGATTAATAGTGCAATTTTGTAGAAAAATGAAATATTAAAGTTCAAAAGCTCATTAATTTAATCACAAAGGCAAGTAGGTCTGTGAATGATAAACCATGCATTTGTATTACAATGAAAGGAAAAATGTTTTCTTTTTCTTCTTACATGCTAAAAGGAAGAGAAACAGTTTAAGTGTGTTGATCTCCATTGACTGGAGAAGTAATTATTATGACTTCTTGGTTTATTGACATCACATTAAACAATAATAAGTGTAAATATTACATCCCCTTTTATTTACATGATCTTGCATTGCCAGTCTTAAATTGAAATAAGGAAAGCCTTTAAGAATTGAGCCTTTGGGGGTATATGACTGAATTTTCATAATCCTGTGACTAACAACAATTTGTGAACATTATTATATTTAGGTTATGCAATAGATCCTACAGTAGATTCCGAAGTTCCAACAGAAGATAAAATGCTTGGTGACAAAGAGGCATTTGAGGAGAATAAAGGTTTGTATGACATATTAACTCTATTAAGATATTACACTAGTACTGCATTAGCATGAAGAACTTGGAATTTGGATTGTCTAATGATAGATTAGAGTATTGGCAGAAATTATATTTAGTTGGATTTACAATAGAATTATAAGCTTGACTCATTCCACCCATCCTGTGCAAGACAATTTGTCAGAAAACACTGGATGAAATCAGTAAAATAAGGTGGTAAAATGCTACATTTAAATAAAGAACAGTTGATAGAAATGTTATATGGTCGAATGTTGTTGAAAACTTTCAACAAATGATGAAAACAAAAGTAAGCGGTTACAAAATTTATACCGGTTCAGAAGTACTATAAACATTGAACTTGATTTGTAAAAGTCAAAATAATTCATTTTAATCAGTCAAGATTCACGGAGATGGACTCACAAATGCATTTTTCTAAAAATTGTTTCAGCACTAAAGTTTGTGATATTTCGACAATGCTAGAATTTAAAGTTATATATAACACCCTTCAATAAGTTAAGGATCGCTCTAGTCTCAAAATCTTTACAGGCCCATCATGGTTATATTCAATTTCCTTTAAAACCTTTTTGTCAATAAAATTGGCATAAAAGGTGGTCAAATGGCACAAACATATTCTAAGAGATAAAAAGGAAATAAAGGAGACCATCGCTCCTTCATAGCAAAATTTAAAAATATTATATAAAGTGGAACAAACAATCAGCACATAGAACCTTCTCCATCTATCCCCGGCACTTGCCCCGGCTGGGGGGGGGGGTGTAACAATTGACTGTTGCACATATTATTAAGAACAAAAGAGCTTGTTGAAAAAGCTTGCAGATAAGCTTGGTCATTGCACAGTGGGTTTTTTTCTTCACAATAAATTAAATTTAATTAACATTCAAATCAGACCTGGGGTAATCATTGACTGTAATCATTGATTTTGTAATTGATTACATGATTACACTGTAATCATCATGTAATTGATTACCTTGCCCAAAACTGATTACATTAATTGTAATTAATCAATTACAGCTTAAATTCAGTCAGTAATTATGATTACATTTTGATTGACATTGATTACTTTCAGAATTAATAGGAAACTTTTTTTAAGTTCAAAGGATGTCTTTATTTTATATATACAGTTTAACTTTTGTTTTTCAGTAATACAGTAAAAATCTTCAATTAGACTGAAAAAAGTAAATATTCTTATCATTGCTTACATACTTTAAGACCATGGTCTACTTTAGTCATTTTGTATGAATAAACAATATGTTTATTTATATGTACCTACAAATACATTATAAATAAAAGTTATCAAAGAATGCTTTGATATTTAATCTGATAAAAGGAAAACATATTTCTGGAGAAATTTAACGTTAATTTTACAGTATCACTTATTATATGATGTACATAAATCAAATGAAAATTTAAATTTTCAAAAAATAAATGTGCTGAAAGCAACAATGTACCACTCTAAAATTGACCTTCTCACCTAATTTCATACAATAACCCAATAACAGTTTTTCACACCTTGTGAAATCAAGTGTCTTGCTAAAGAGCATTCAAGCAGATCATAACAACAAATTTAAGATCTAGATAGGTGTTGACTTCAATATCAGAGGTCTCAATAGTCACATTAAAATTAAAACAAAAAATTGGACTGGCTAATAATGGTGGTCTTAAAAGTGAATAAGCAGGGGGTTAAATCTGGATCACGAAACCATTGACTTAAAGAATATTTTTAAAAATGGTCTTAATAGCAGGGTGGTCTTAATTCTGGGGTGGTTTAATGTACATTCAATGTAATCAATTATCAATCAATTACTCTCTTAAAAGTAATTGTAATTCAATTGATTACAGAGGCAAATGTGAGTAATCAATCTTAATCAATTACAATAAAATCTGAAAGTAATTGTAATTTAATCAATTACTGATCAATGTAATCACCCCCAGGTCTGATTCAAATTATGAAATAATAACTTTAATTGCAGTATTGTTGCAACTTAGTGTATGCATACATGTACTTCAATATTGAATGTGTATTTTGACACTATCAGGTTTTGTGTATGTTGAAATGGTCACTTAATGGTAAAACATATAAAAATGGGTAATTGTTGGTTCGTATGTTTTAAATCTGATGGGATATATTATTTTGTCTCATTCTATCGAAACAGTGATATGATATTTGTTTCAGGACTGACAGCTTTTGAGAAGGGCAAGAAACGAGAAGAAGATCGAAGGAAAAGACTTCGGAATGATAACCCGTCAGATATAGAGGGATTTATAGGACCATGGGGGAAATTTGTTGATGAACAGACTGTCATGAAACCAAATGAGGTTTGCTTTTATGTTACAGTTTGACAAAGATTGTTAAAGCATATATTGGTCTGTTGATCTGAGTGTACTTTATGTACAGTCAAATCTCCATTAAAAAATTTCCTTGTAGTAAAACAACATTATGCATTTGATAGTTTACTCTAGAATTCACACTCTAAAATTAACACTCTGTGCCTGTTAATAAGTTTTTTGGTTTTTAGCTCGACTTTTCTATGAAAAGGGGAGCTATCCTACTCGCCCCGGCGTCGGCGTCGGCGTTAGCGTTGGCGTCACACCTTGGTTAAGTTTTTCGTACCACCCCACTTTATTTCAGAAGTATTACAAGTATGGCTTTGAAACTTACCATACTTGTTCACCATCATAACCTCCATCTACAGACAAGAGTACATAACTCTGTCAAGGTTTTTGACAGAATTATGGCCCTTTTTTGACTTAGAAAGTGTATTGAGCTTGGTTAAGTTTTTTGTACCACCTCACTTTATTTCAAAACCATTGGAGGTATTGCTTTGAAACTGACCATACTTGTTTACCATCACGACCTTCATCAACAGACAAGAGGACATAACTCTGTCAAGGTTTTTGACAGAATTATGCCCCTTTTTGACTTAGAAAATACATTGAATATGGGTAAAATCCACTTATTGCCTTAACCCTTTGAGATATTGCTTTGAAACTTTTAATGCTATTTCACATCATTACCCCCATCTGTACGCAAGAGAAGGTAACTCTGTCAAGGATTTGTTTTAAAAATTAAGGCCTTTTATCGACTTAGAATCTTGGTTAAGTTTTTTGTACCACCTCACTTTATTTCAAAACCATTGGAGGTATTGCTTTGAAACTGACCATACTTGTTTACCATCACGACCTTCATCAACAGACAAGAGGACATAACTCTGTCAAGGTTTTTGACAGAATTATGCCCCTTTTTGACTTAGAAAAATACATTGAATATGGGTAAAATCCACTTATTGCCTTAACCCTTTGAGATATTGCTTTGAAACTTTTAATGCTATTTCACATCATTACCCCCATCTGTACGCAAGAGAAGGTAACTCTGTCAAGGATTTGTTTTAAAAATTAAGGCCTTTTATCGACTTAGAATCTTGGTTAAGTTTTTAGTACCAGTCCACTTTTTGACTGAACTGTTTGAGATATTAATTTGAAAGTTGGAATACTTGTTTACAATCATGATTCCCAAACATGTCCAGGAGAAGGTAATTCTGTCAAAGATTTTATTTGAATTATGGCCCTTAACTGTCAATGTTTTGTATTATAGGCAAGCACTAAAAAAGTCGAGCGCGCTGTCTTACGGACAGCTCTTGTTTTTAAAGCTGTACTACATTAAGAACCTATTGTCAATTAATATTTTTCTGAAGATTTATGTAAGATTTTACAACTTATAGAATATTAAAGGTAAGATCCACAGAGGAGTGACATTCACAAAACACAGTTTTGTAAGATAAGATTGTTCTGTCAGTAGAGGTGTCATCGATAAGGATTTTTGTATCGATAAATCGGTAATGAATTATCGGCGATACAGCGATATATCGATTGCCAGGCTAAATTTAAGCTTTCAAGTGTTTTTAAATGTTTCCTAAGGACTCTGAGAAAGCAGTTATATTTAGACAAATGCAAAAATGATTAACAATGAAAACTGAACAAATTGTTTCTTTTTTTATCATATAGCTATAAATAAAAAATAATGACTAGTAACTATAAAGTTTAAAGCCTTTTCCATTTTACTTTAGTTGTTGTTGTTGCTATTACGTAGTTACTGATAATGCTAAATCCCGTCCTTAACGTTCCAATTAAGCCAGGTTTAATTGGCAAATTATAGTGTTTAGAACCTGAATAATTATTAAAGTTTAACATTTTGTAGTCATAATTTTTACCAAGAAACACTGACAAATTTTTCTTGGCATTTTCCCTTTTGAAATCTGAATTGAGGGTCTTCACATTCACTTAGCACGCGTGCGAGATTACAACGAAATTAGGCAGCATTCGTTAGAGACACTGGGAGGTAACTTTGGCATTGATTTCCGTTTTCATTAAAAAAAAAATTGTTTCTGGCTTCCATAACTTTATATGTCGCTTTTATTTTGACGTTTTGCAACAGTAAACAGGTCTATCAGTTCTATAAAAACTGTTCGCTGAAGTCTCTTTAGCTAGAAATATATGTGCATTTAATATCCGATATTTAAAAAATGGAATCGATATCGAATCGGATAACAATGATCGTTGATACACTGATATCGATTGAATCGATGACACCCCTATCTGTCAGATTATTTGCGAAACATGTGAATGAAATATCAAATTCGTTATCATATTATAATATACAAAATTTAGAGACTTTCATGATGTGATTTATGATCACAGTCTTCATGGATTAATATACATGTACTTCATATACCTATATTTTTAAGACTTAAGTAAATTAATTGACAACAAACACAACATGAACAGCAACAAAGCTGTTGCAGCCTTAAGTTTGACATTGCCACTAAGTGAACAATGCTGCCATTGGTTTTTGCCTCTGAATAAAAAGGTATAAAGATGAGTGTAAAAATGCAGGTCTGAGGTATGAAACTGGTGATCAAGACACTTGCACTGCTCATATTTTGTTTTTGCCAGTCATCTGTTTATTGTCTTGAGTCAACATAGTAAATATCTGTAGTTACACAGAGCAGTATTTCAGATTTATGTATTGTATGTCAGTAAATTATATTTCTCTACTTGTATGATAATTGTATGTCAGTAAATTATATTTCTCTACCTGTATGATAATTGTATGTCAGTTAATTATATTTCTCTACCTGTATGATAATTATATGTCAGTTAATTATATTTCTCTACCTGTATGATAATTGTATGTCAGTTAATGATATTTCTCTACCTGTATGATAATTGTATGTCAGTTAATTATATTTCTCTACTTGTATGATAATTGTATGTCAGTTAATGATATTTCTCTACCTGTATGATAATTGTATGTCAGTAAATTATATTTCTCTACCTGTATGATAATTGTATGTCAGTAAATTATATTTCTCTACCTGTATGATAATTATATGTACAGGAGGAAAAGGCAGAGCTTGATGAGATTCTTGCGAAACGAGCAAAAACTGGGAAACAAGTGGAGGAGAAGTCAGCGGAGGAGAAAACAACATTACACAGTTAGTATTTATACACTTGTTACTATATATAGTAACAAATTGCCTAGGAGTTTAACTGATTATGTTTGTCACATGACTAATAATGAGTTTTTTGCCACGGGCCGAGAACTCATAATCGTTATCAGCCTGCTGAACATGAACACATACAAAAGCTGATGTCACATTTTATGTCATCAAAACAGCTAACTGTATAGTGAAAGTAGATTTTAAACATGGATTGTTAGAAATTCATGGTTAGAATGTATGCATAATTTGAACAAACACAGTTTTTGGCATTTAAAGAAAAAAAGTATGCTAATTTTATTCCAAGAAAATAAAACTTGCTTCTTGATTGTAGTGGACTTTGTATACACATAAGGGGAGCCACTTTACTTACATTTCAGTACAGAGACAAGAATATCAATATGACAGAAATAAATTGAGCCGCGTCATGACAAAACCAACATAATGGGTTTGCGACCAGCATGGATCCAGACCAGCCTGGGCATCCACACAGTCTGATCAGGATCCATGCTGTTTGCTATCAGTTTCTCTACTTGTTATAGGGTTTGTAAGTGAACAGCATGGATCCTGATCAGACTGTGCGGATGCGCAGGCTGGTCTGGATCCATGCTGGTCGCTAACCCATTATGTTGGTTTTGTCATGACGCGGCTCAATTGTGTATTTAAGACATTAATACATGTCATAGATGTACCAGAAAGTGATAATCAACCCTGAAATGAATAATGCTCTTAGGCTAAAGCTCTTGGTGTCCATTTTGCACTGATTATTACTTTCCAGCCACACTCTGCTGTGTATTAAACTCTTAATTTTCTAAATGTATATGTTCATCATAGCAACAATGTCTTAAATTGTTACTTTAATTTATAGTGTTTTGTTAAAGCCTTTATTAATTTTGTACTGAAGTAATTCTCCTTAGATTAAAGTCTACCAATATCATTAAATGTGGACATGAGCCATAGGGCATAAACATTTATAATTATTGGTAACTGTTAAATCAGAAGAAAAAGAAAAAAAATGAAATTATTTGTTTGATTTAAAACTTTTAGTATAGACATATTTCTTTTTTTTTTAGTCAAAGATGCATATGATTACCAAGGACGTTCATTTTTACACATACCTCAAGATGTTGGCGTTAATCTCAAGTCTGAGTACCCACCAGAAAAATGTTTTATACCAAAGAAACTTATACATACCTGGGCTGGACATACAAAAGGTGTCGCACAGATTAGATGGTTTCCTAAGTCAGCACATTTATTATTATCAGCCAGTATGGACAGCAAAATAAAGGTAATTTCTTGCTGTATGACCTTTGTGAATGATGTAGAATTAACCTTAGTCCTGCTGGAACGGTAGTGATCAGTATTTGCCACCAGTATAGAGCTAGGCCAGCCGATATGTCAATGTAGTCTGACCAGGTCCTACACTGTTGGCTTAGTTTACATCTTGATTTCAAAAATATAGTGGACAGTTAAAAAAAACTGACTAAGTTTTCATGTTGATATCAAATAATTCCAAAAATGGAAGCTAAACAATTTAAGAAATTTAGCAGGTTAAAGGCTATCTTTTGACATGCCAGCTGCTACAGAAGAACCTTAACAGAGCAATATTCTTTGAGAGAAAAAGATTCTGATTCTTGTTGAGAGGTGTTGCTCAAGACCAGTTAGATTTATTGTGTAGTCTTACTTACTTATAGTGCTGCAAATCAGCCCATTTTACTAGCCTATTTAGAGGGGTAAGTGGTCTATGTCAGCCAACAGCAAGTTTCATATACCAAAATGTTCCTCTGGATCTGTAGTTTCTGGAATAGATATTCATTTTGCCCAACCCCGATGCGAAGCTAAGATATCCAAGATGGCGTCAAAGATGGCCACCAAATCCCTTAATATTCTAGTATATTTATGTTGGCTTATTTCCTTTTTCAGTTTTGTAAATTAATTGAAATTTTGCATAAAATTTCTTATTTTCAACTTACTAAATGCTTTAAGTTTTGACTTTATTGATTTTTTCTAGTTTTCATTGCCTAATTTTAACGAAAGAAGAAAAAATATGTTGCAAACTAGGTGTCCTTTTCTGAATATGTGTAACTTACTAGTTTTATTCTTGTTTAAACTGAATAACATTCATGATTTCGTTTAATACAGCTTTAAAACTATATCTACACATATTTAGAATAAGTTAGAATAAGCGAACTATGCCATAAATGTGTTTTATTGATCTAAATTCATATACAAAGTGGGTGGGGTATTGCGAACTGGGAGTCGACTTTAAATTAAATACTTTTTTGTTTTATATTATAATAGTGATATTAAAAAGATTGACAATTTTATTTAATTGGTTAGTGATGAGACATCTTACCTTTCATAGAAAATGCCCTGCATGTGTGTCTAAATGTTGGAATATCTCTTTTATTTGTTTTATGCACACACTAAAGAACGAATTTACTCACCTGCAATTCAGTATTTGCGTTGACCTTGTGCTAGCCTTTTGTTAAGGATTTGTTTGCAAGGTTGTTTCTCCTTAGCCATAAACATTCACTGTTAGTCTTCAAAAGTGATTTTAATTATTATTGTAGGTCACTGTTCAAGACCCATAAGCTAAGCATTTATTAGGAAATAATAATATCTATTTATTAACTTATAGAATTTCTCGGACAAGATATATCTCCACAACCATTAAGGTAATGCACTTGAAGCTAAACAAATCTTTGAGATCATTATTGTAGGTTACTTCCCTCTAACATTTTTTTTATTTCAAAGAGTTATACTACTTTATGAATAAGAGAATTTCTTTATTATGCAGGCTGTTGATTTTAAATATTTGAGCGTACTGTCTGACATGCAGAATTTGTTTAAAGGCATTTTGCTTAATCTACAATTGAACCATATTTGGGGTTTTGTCATTAGCGATGACGGATATAATATATACATTAAAATGTTAAATGTAATTTGCTAGAACATTTAAAATGGGTAGGTTATTCAGTTTACAGTAAGAGACTTTTCTGCTAGACTGTATCTGAATTATAAATAAAATATTATATGAATATAAATATATATATTGTGTGAATTGAAAATATATATTATGAGGGCAGTTTCTTTTTAGCTCAACTATTCGACGATTAAGGACAACTATCCTAGTCGCCAGACCGTCGGCGTACCATCTCAAAGTCCATTGACATATGGCTTTGAAACTGGCACACTTGTTTAACATGATCATGCCCTCCACTTGAACACTGGAGGAGGTCTATCAAGCATTTTGACAGAATTATGCTTCTTTTTTCAACTTTTAATTTACTTTACCAAAATTTCAAAATTCCTTCGCTATATCGCTTTGAGACCTTGCACACTTGTTCACCATCATAATCTCAACCTGTGCACAGAGGAGGTCACTGTATCAAGCATTTTTACAATATTATGTCCCATTTTTTACTATCAAGCACTGAGGATAGATGAGCACGCTGTCCGACTGACAGCTCATGTCTATGATTTTGAGCATTTTGTTTCAAGTTTGTTGTTAACTTCATGGAAGGAATTAAGAAAGCCTTTCAATTGGACGAAAAAAGCTAATCTTTTCCCTTGCGGGTACTTGATAGTAATACTATGTGCTAGGGGGCGTAGAGTAACATGAACTTTCCAGTACCGTCCATGAACAGGCTCAGTCAAACCGAGTCTGCAACAGCAGGTTAACAGTGTTACATTAATAGGTCCTTCGGGATGGTGGTGTCGGTAGTTTTCAATCCGGATCACGGCAGTAACCATATTGAGTTTACCAGGGCACAGTTCAACCACCGAATCGTTCCTGGACAGGTTGTCAAACAGTTTACCAGTACTAGTTGCCCTAACTTTCGCAAGGAACTAAAATTTTTGCACATAGCAGAGCAGTGGTACAGTGCGAATAACCATAGAAACTATTTCATGATCAGTCATAACGAAAGTGACCTGCCGCGTCCGGGAATCAAACACGGGTTGCCCGATTCACAGTCCAACGCTCTATCTATTGAGCTACCCGGACGACATGGTCCTCCGGGATCATTGATTGCAAAACTTTTATAGTTGAGGATCGGATACTACTTAGTTGGTACTAAGAGACGTGAGATATGGTCTCTCATGAACACACCCCATCAAACTGAGTTTGAATTATCAACTTTGCCGTGTTTAACTGCTATCAAAGGATGTTCTCTTTTCCTGATTTTTAAAATTATAATGTTAGTTGCTAGAGGGATTTTATGTAAGTCGCTCTACTATTTCACAACCGGAAGCTATACGTTGCATTGAATAGCACTTGCCGCTACCTAGATGATATCCTTAACATGAATAATCAAATTTGATCAAGTGAAATCTTAATATATCCAAGTGAACGTTTTAATGAATAAAACAAACTCTTAATATTTTCAAATTTTAACATTTCTATCATTAACAATAACATAGTAACTAAAATCTAAGATAATAGTTTTTTTTAAATAATGTTGTTAACTGTTCACATGTACTTCATGCAACATCCTATAGGGTATATTTATATATTTCTAAGTTTGAAAGTACAATGTGTGCAAAACAACCTCTGTTCATTTATTTATATGTCACACACCTTTTTGTCAAATGAAATGTAATATACTTTTTTAAAGTTTCTTACTTATTACTGACAAACTTCTTTAACAAGGCTATAGCTATTATAAATTACGTAAATATTTTACAAAGTCCTGTCGTCGTAATTCAGATAAATTAAAATTTCTATTGTACTTTAAAACTCGTTTACGTCTAGGTATAAGCAGGCCTGATTTATGTGGAGATGACAGCTTATCTGTGGCATGCAGGCTTCAAAACCTCTGATCCCCTTTCAAAATTCCATTTTATTTAGTTCTGCTCGCTCATTGTTTTCTTGTTGAGGGCACACATATTCTTGTACTTGAGGACCATACGCCGCTTTTTATGGAATGACACTAACGTGTCTGTCAAATTGAAGGTTCCATGATAACCACATTATAAGCACGTCTGCGGTTGTTTCTAAATCCAAAAGTTCACCATAACCATGATTAATTGTTGAATTCTGCTTAATTCGGTGCTAGGGGGCGTGAACTGTAGTTTGCACTTTACAGTGCCGTCCATGAACAGGCTCACTCAAACCGAGCCTGCAACATTTTCATGTTTGACGTTTTGTGCGTTCTTACTTGTTTTAATTTCGTCTTCTGTCTTGGTAAGTTATGTTCTTGTTGCTCTGCCTTCCTTTAAGGCATCGAGTACTTTGGTATGGTAATTAGGCTGTACCTTAACTGTACAAATTTACACGATCATGTATGTATTTTATTTATTTCTTCTAATGTAACCATAACAATTGTTAGAATTTTACTTGGCGTGGATTTAATTTATTAACATTGTGTCGTCATATTGGAACATACCGGTAGTGGTAATTGCAAGTTACCATCCATACCCCCTAGCACCGGCTTAAGCAGAATTCTCAATTTTACATAAACTGGTACACTTAAAGGAAGTGAAGACACGTCCATAGATGTATTCATACGAAAGTGATCATGGTATCTTCAATGTAAAATGTTCGTGCAATTTCATGACATACAACATATTGTCCTCAAGAAATAGAGAACAATTGGCTAAACTAAATAAAATGGATTTATACAACTGGATCAAAGGTCAAAATATAATCTTCAAAAGCAGGTAACATATCCAAAGGGTTATTATACACTATTTATCAAAAGGGTTATTATACACTATTTATAAAGAAAAACTAGAACCTCATAATTTAACTCGAAACAGGTCAACTAGAAGAAATTTAAATAACACAAACACAATTATAATGCAAAGCTGAACGATTTTCATATAAACATTATGTTTTATCCGACTACTATGCATGTTTCATGAAACCGAAGGTCAACAGAGTAATGATCTATGTAGATAAAATATCAAACTTTTGAAATGACTGTGTTGTCAATTTAAGAAACTTTAAAAAAGTAAATTACATTTCATTTGACATAAAAAGGTGTGTGACATATAAATAAATGAACAGAGGTTGTTTTGCACACATTGTACTTTCAAATCCTTAGGTGAACTTACAACAAAATCTTGCTTTAGTTAGTTAATTGGTAACACATTTTTGAACAGAATTTTAGATATGACAGGATACCTGTAATAGTATCACACTTTGAAAATTACCTTATGTTTATTAACTTACGTAAATATTCTCATTCCATATAATCAGTATAATCGAGGGGTCAGAGTTTCTCTAGATTTTTATTCATAGTGGGTGGGGTACGATTTGTACAAAAATTCATTAAAAAACCAGAAGCAAATTATCATATTCCTGGTTTATTATGTTAATCAGTTACATAGACTGCACTAAAGAAGCTATAATTTGACAGAAACACAAAATTTGATGAAATAATTGATAGAACAAATAAGTACCAGTTACAACTTTACATTTAAAAACTATTTTATGTACCGCCTCTCATTTTACATGTCTCACTGCATAATTACAAAGAAAGATTTCTTAAGATATGATATGAATGCATTAAAACATTACTCTCATGAGTACATTACAATAGTGGAATAACAAAATAAGTAATAGATATTTCTCTGTTTAAGCAAAGACAAGAGTATCATAGCAAACTCTATAAGTTTAGCATTATTTTGCTTATTTACGTATAAAAAAGGCAAAAATCGATCTGTTTCTCCAATATAATTAATCTCTTCGTATATAACACTTAAAATAATATATATCGTGCAAAAAATTCACTTGAAATACAAAAGCGGAAAACAAATATAAGAAAATATTATTATTCTAGAATATTTAGGGATTTGGCGGCCATCTTTGACGCCATCTTGGATTTTTAAGCTACGCATCGGAACTTGAAACCAAATGAATATCCATTCCGGAAACTACAGACCAAGACGAACAATTTGGTATATAAAACTTGCTGTTGGCTGACATAGACCACTTCGATGTCATTTTACCCTATGAATTTGCAGCACTATTAGGGAAGAATTGATACTATTTTTGTGAAGAAAATATATTGTATATATTCCAGCTGTTGCACATATACAACAACAGTGTAATGTATTGTTACCAGTCTGTAGAAATTTGTGTCACCTTATCAACTAATATGTATTTCAAATAAGAAATTTACTTTTCAGTGTCTGAAATAAATATTTTGGTGGTGGGGCGTCCGTGGCCGAGTGGTTAAGGTCGTTGACTTCAAATCACTTGCCCCTCACCGCTGTGGGTTCGAATCCCGACAGGGACTTTGGATTCTTTCATGTGAGAAAGCTATCCAGCTAGCTTATGGAACGTCGGTGGTTCTACTCAGGTGCCCGTTCGTGCCTGAAATAATGCACGGAAGGGCACCTGAGGTCTTCCTCCACCAGTAAAGCTGGAATGTCGCGATATGACCTATACTGTGTCGATGTGACGTAAAACCCAAAAACAATTTTGGTGGTAAAATTGGGGTACAGATTCATCATTGTCATATATGATAAAGGTCAAATCTATATGAGTTCATAACATAGACTGAATAATTATATGTTCTTGTTTCAAGAACTTTACAGAATATGCTCTCATACTTGGAGGCTTTTAACCTTTTGTCTGCTGGGACCAAAAGTGACTTGTCTTTGCCTCCTTGCAGTCTGACTAGGCTCTTTACTGTCAGTAGATTAATTTTAGTATTTTGACATTAAAATCCCTAAATTTAATGGACTGTTCCATAATATTAAAAAGCTGGACAAATCCTTTACACAAATTTAACAGGTTACGGGATGATATAATTATTCAATCGGTTACTTTGAGCATCTGTTTTATCACTTAAATGATAAGGATGAAATTATGGGTTTTATGTATTTGATTATATTTTTTAGATCTGGGAGGTGTATAATGATAGACGGTGTGTGAGAACTTACCTGGGTCACAAACAGGCTGTGAGAGATATTAATTTCAACAACAGTGGTACAGAGTTTCTCAGCTGTGGTTATGACAGATATTGTAAATTGTGGGACACTGAAACAGGTAGTTGACTGAAATGATTTTAAATTCAATGTAGCAATATTTCAGAATTTTGTATCAAATTTGGTAAAATATATGTTGTGTTATCTTGTTGTCAATTCATGCAACATCAATGAAGGGTCAAATTGTCTTGGGCATATTTTTTTTATCTGAAGTCCAATTCTGTTATTGAAACAAGATACTTAGAATATTGTGGGTTAAACAGCCTGTCCAATAAACTGCTCAGGGACACATTTCATAGAATTTCCTAAGTTTAAAATCAGTCAAAAAAACAAATCAGACGCAATTTTGTGTTTCAAAGAAAATGTCCTTACTTATGATTCGTATCTTATGACTTCATCAAATGCTGAATAGCAATGTTGATGAACATAAACATATTGCAGGTTGAAACATGTGCTATTGTATTTCTTAGAAGTAATAATTTAATGAAAATCTAATGTCTCTATTGAAACAGTCCTAAGATAGTCAGTCCTTAAGATGGTTTTATGTCCTAGGACTTAGGATATACATAGGACTTTCTATGAAACACAGTCCAGGTGCCCACTGTAAGCTTGCAATACTGCATAAAGGTTCATATTTGGTCTTCTTCTATTAATACAGCTGGAAAGTTGCCATATGACGTAACAGTGTTGATGTCACTTAAAATCAATTAATTGATTTAAGCGGTAAATAATAATATAAAAGTACCATAATTTGTTTAACTTGATAATGTTAATTAGAATGATTATTGACTTTATGTTATTTTAACTTTCTAGGAGAGTGTAAAGGAAGATTTACGAGTAGAAAAGTTGCATATTGTGTTAAATTTCATCCTGAAGAAGACAAACAACACTTGTTTGTGGCTGGTACCTCGGACAAGAAAATTATTTGTGTAAGTACCATTAATTGTAATTAGATCTGTATATGTACTAGTAGCACAGTAAGAGGTCATTAAAACTACTTCAGATTAATTATGTTGACTGCATGACCTAGCACATTTTTTCATTTCAATTTGGTTGATTATATTCATACTTTTAAGGTTGATGATACTGATTAAAGCTACTATTTCACAGATACAATATAAAATTACATTGGTTTTAAGACATAGTTTTACAGACATGCCAAATCTTTAATTAGCTGATTTTTTTTCGGAAGCAAGAAACGTGTTAACATCTGGTTTCATGTCAATATTTAAATCTGTAGGGTAAGCCATGTTGTGTTTTTATGTCCAAAACCATGTAGATTTAACACAATCCTATTCTGTGACTGGTACTTGGTCTAAGTATAATATGAGGAAACATGGTAGTGACTAAGAGTAAGGCTAAAACCCACACCTCACATCACAAAAATCATTCATTTAGTTAATGCATTGATATAAATCGAATAATTTACAAAATATATGTATTTGTTTAATATCTGGTATATTTTATAACTATTTTGGGATTTGGTAAGGCAATATGTAATTTTTATGGTCCAGCATTGAGGGGTCCATATATGTTTGCTCTTGTCTAGATTTACAAAAGGAATCTGGGGGTATCTGTGACCAACATGTTTCTGGTTTTATTAATACTTCTATTAATGAGTGGAATGGAAACTGTACACCAATTATCTACCTATTATTGAGCATTTTTCTTACAATAAAAATTGTCTTTTTAATTATATTAAAAAAACTTATTTATATTTATTTTCAGTGGGATATCCGGTCAGGGGAAACAGTTCAAGAATATGACAGACATCTTGGTGCAGTAAACTCTATAACATTTGTTGATCAAAACAGAAGATTTGTCTCAACTTCTGATGATAAAAGTTTAAGAGTTTGGGAATGGTAAACATTAAATCTCATTAAATCTGTTATATTCGAAGTATTTCAAATGATGTGCTGGTGATTGTAAAAGATTGAAAAGATTTACTCATATTTAATTTATCCTCAACATTATGGAGCATTTTTTACCTCTTTCAAGCACTTCAGTAATAATGAGTTCACTTTGTAACCAGTATAGAAACAGACCATTCTATCATTTATTATTGTCCAATACCTCAAACATATAATAAACAATTCCTTATTAAAGAACAATTCCATTAGATATACATGTATACAAAAGGGAAAATTAAATTTCCCTGTATCAGACTGAATGTAAATAATATTTAGTGTGTCAATACCTTCATTATTAAAGGAACTCCACTGAAGTCCAAACTCCTAAATACATAAAATTTGAATACCTTGTATAGATAAGTTGGGGCACCTAAACAGAAATATGTTTTAAGAGATAGTTTAGAAACATACACAGAAATAAATTGAAAATCATATTTTTTGCACTTCTTAGCAAGATTTGAATGAAAAGCGTTGCAGCATTTTTCAATTTCGGGTAATTTTTCACAATTAGAATAATTATTTTAGGGATACAAAGTGAATAGATGATCTGAAATTTTGTACACAAGTTATTGGTCTAGACCTACATCAAAGTGGGCATTTATATTAAAAATTATTTCCAGTCTTGTAATGTCAAAAAACCTCAGTGGTGTCCCTTTAATTTCTTAGAAAGGATTATCAAGTTTATTGAAATGATTGTTATTATTTTCAGGGATGTTCCAGTAGATTTTAAATATATTGCTGATCCTTCTATGCATTCTATGCCATCTACGACTTTATCACCAAATGGTTAGTACTCTAAGTTATACACAATTTATTTCAGTTTAGTTAAATTGGAAGTTGTAAGCTTATAGACACACTATTTACATAGAAAATATTAACTTGTGATAACTATTGCAAAAATTCATTCAGTTATTCATAGTATATTTCTTTTAAATTTTAAACAGTAAAAACAGGTACAAGTAGTTCTCTTTTTCTTCTTCTAATACACTCTTGAAGAAGAAGATTTATAGTGTTTTTGCACATGTCATTTGGTCCATCCATAAACCAGACCTTGTCCTATTATTTGAGAAGCTTTCGGTTTAAAGTACTTATTAGGGTGGTTGTTAATGATTAGTTGATTTTGAGGACAAAGTCATGGTGACCCTCACCATAAAAGCTTGCTTACTGATTTCAAATGTAGTGGAATGATTTGTTACATGACTGATTGTCATTAGATACCATTAGAGGGGCAAACTGCTTACAAATATTTCTGGTAATTAAGGTGAGCGAATGAAAAGAAAAAGTAAAATTTTACGTTTTACATATTTTTACGTTTTACGTAGCTACATGAACTTGGATTATTAATGTTTGAGCCGCGTCATGACAAAACCAACATGATGGGTTTGCGACCAGCATGGATCCAGACCAGCCTGCACATCAGCGCAGTCTAATCAGGATCAATGCTGTTTGCTTACAAACCCTATTACAAGTAGAGAAACTGATAATGAACAGCATGGATCCTGATCAGACTGCGCGGATGCGCAGGCTGGTCTGGATCTATGCTGGTCACAAACCCATTATGTTGGTTTTGTCGTGATGCGGCTCGCTGATTTATTTACATGTTGTTGTTTCAGGTAAATGGTTAGCTTGTCAATCAATGGACAATAAGATCTGTGTGTTCAACGTTTTAAACAGATTTAAATACATGAGGAAGAAAACATTTACTGGTCATATGGTGAGTGGTTTTATGGCACAAATATTTCAGCCAGATAATCTTTAAACAAAATGTGATCTTTTTTTTATATTTTGTATAATTAAAATGTGTTTCTCCTTTAAATAATGCAAGACCCTTACAGTAGCCAAGGGGAAGTCTGTTGTTTTCCCAAAATATTTTCATGTCTGTAAAGCATTTTGATCATCAGGATAATTTCTCCCTTTCAAAGAGCCAGAAAGTTATCATATAGCTGAGTCAATTTTAATTCAGAGACAACAAAAAGAAGAAAACCACAACAAAGTTTATGTATTACATGTTTTGACATGGGTAGCTTTTTCCACCTTATTCGATGTGCAACCTATATGTTTAGCAATTAACTGAAGTAAGTGTTAAGTTATTAACAACTCTGTGTGTAATATTTCAGGTTGCTGGTTATGCTTGTGGTGTTGATTTCTCACCTGAAATGACGTAAGTGGAACAAACTTGCTGATGTTGTTTTGGTTTTTAAACAATTTTCATTAAACAATCATCATTTGATTTTTTATTTTTATACCTTTTGTTTTAAATGTAGATTTTGCTATTTTAAATGAGTTTTTGCCCATTATGTACCTTTGAATATAAAATAAGTTTTATTCTTTTTTCTTTACAACCCCCAAGATGGAATTGAATTAAGTTTTGCTGGATAGATAAGTAGAAAATGTTGTTAAGTACACAAGTATATATTTTAAATATTGTAAAATTGTAATATCTTGTACTGATGATGGTTCATGGTTTTACCTCAGTAGAAAATTGCATGAGAAATGCGTTAGACAGTTGTAAATTTTCAGGACGATTTCTGGTATCAAATAATCACATATTTAGCTAAGGAAACATGTATTATACATTTAATTTTATTTTCAGATACTTGATATCAGGGGATGCTGATGGAAAATTATATATCTGGGACTGGAAAAGTACAAAATTGTATTCCAAGTTTAAAGCCCATGACGATGTATGTATTCAGGCAATATGGCATCCACACGAGACATCTAAAGTAGCTACAGCTGGATGGGATGGTGTTATAAAATACTGGGACTGAGATATTGACCTAGATAATGTACAATACACTACACCATTGTCAATGATGTTTTAACGGGCAGCATGAAGAATATGAGCAAAGTTTACAATGTTATACCATCACACTTGTTTAATGAAAGTGCAGAAAAGTGAGAAAATTTGTATAGACATCGGGTTATACTTGCACAAGTTAATAGAGAGCTGAACAATAACAAAATCTATGATGTTTTCTTTAAAGCTTCTTCTATTATACATGATATGTTAAAGCTAACCCATGATAGATTACCGGTTCCATACATTTGTATATATGCACCTGACATCATGTTTAATGAAGTTTATAAACAAACTTTGTTACAATTAAATAAATGTTCACGTACTTAATTGGGTTGAGTGTATGGTTAATATCGTTTTGCTGTAATTGATACGATACAAGCAATATACACACCTACATGTATATTGTAATACATTCACAAACACTTTGTAGTATGATGCAAATTCAGAAAATATTTCTATGGTTTTAATAATAATATGTTTAAAACAACACCCAAGTAAGTACATAAATAATGTAAACGTTATTTCTTTATAAAAGTTTTGCTATCGAATGTGTCAAAAATTCAATAAAAGTTGTTTGTTTTTCAAACAAAACTGAGATTTAAGATTGAAAATTTTATTTTTTAAATTAAAGAAAATAAAATGAAACTACCGAAAGCAATAACATATTCATCTTATTATTAACTACCTTCCCCATGTAATTGAAAATACTGAACAATTACTTTATTGAGAATTAACCCTCATTAGCCTTTAAGTAGGGTGCTCATTGTTTGCAAGTTTAATATTGTTCACCTGCTACAGGACACAAGAGATATTGCACATTACATTACAACAGACACTGTTATTGCCAACTACATGTAACGGTTTTGTTTTCATTACTTTTAAGGGATCCTCGTCAGTGTTCCATGACCCTGACCTCAAGTGTTGTCATTAGGGGACACAGGTGTACCAAACATATTTTCTTGCTTGGAAGGTTTATTTGTACAGGAAAAAAATATTTTCTTCTAAAAAATGGGTGTCTAAATTATCAAATAAAAGCATTAGTTAGGCTTAAAAAAATAACAACAAAAGTACAGTGAAAAATATATTGATAGGCACAATACAAAATATAAAAGCATGATATGATTTAAAACCAGAATGATGATATGGCACATTTATTATATATTAGTGATGGCTTACAGTTTCATATTCAAAGAGGTATATACACAAACTACAGTAACAATAGCAATAATGTTGTTAAAATTTTGGTCCCTACAGTAAACTGATGTTGGAATGTGATAGAAAATTATATCTGACGGAAATTATGTATGAATCATTGCAGATTGCTGAGAAGATCAGCTGAAAATTCTAATTGATATCCCCTTTGAAATGAAATAGAAATTTCATTAAATTAAGTGAAAGATAGACTTATCAAATAAATCATGTGACATGATAAAGAACAGCTACATTAAGTATCTCAATAGTTGTAACATAATGCTTTAGTTGAATGTAAATTTCTGTATGTGTATAAACTGAAGGTAATATATCGTAACTGACTACGAGTCTCTACCACTTCTTACAGCCTTACTGCCGAGTTTACCTTTCCTAGACATGGTTGAGTGTCCACCTAGAAATCCAGAAGTCTAGAGTTCAATCCACAGTCAGTGCTTGAGGATTTTAAGGTTTACTTTTTATCATAAAATAGATAATAAAATTTCATATGCAGTATTTATTCATGTTTAAACAACTTGCTTTTTAAAAACAATGTGATTATATGCCTAAAGAATTTCAAGAATTAACAAAAATAATCAACAGAATGGGGCCTTATACTTCACATAATTGAAATAAGAAGAGAAATGCTCAGTACAACATTGTTGTAACTATGACTAAACCTGATTCAGCATTACATGTCTGAATGAAATTGGCCAATACTGCATTTCCAGCTGGATTTAGGGACATTTGGTATAAAGAACCCATATTACCCTCTATATGACAAGCTTTTTTTATATTTAAATCGTGATCAATATTATTTTACAAAACAAAAACAAACAAAAAAAGAACATTCTCATATAGCCTATATGTTATATGTTTATAAGTCAATCTAGAACAGTCACATTTCATCATTTTCAGTTTGCATATATTTAGAACAACAGTGGAATGTCTTTTCATACATTCAATAAATCAAAACCTAGACGGAAACAGTGCATGTATTGGCACTTTTCAGCCACAGTGTCAAGATACAAAAGCATTCCACTAAACTTGAACTTAACTATCTAACAACAGATGTACAACAGTTCTAAAAATGTTCATTTTTTTAAAATATATATTATTCATTTCTTAATAATGGTAAATATTACAAGATCAACTTTATATGTAAAATATAACAAAAAGAACTAAGTTCAAAGGTAGTGCTATGTCACTAATAAAACATTTCAACCAATAACCTGGGTAAAAAACATATAATGCTGTTGACAAGGTATCACTTATTTAGTGATTGTCATTATTAACAAACAATTGTTACAACATAACCACAAGTGCCTGTCAAAAAGCGAGTTATTTTATAAAAAATATTATTTACAAACCAATATAACAGAACAAATATAATATAAGCAATGAGCGATATAGTGATGTAGCATCTTGTAATATTTAATGATGCAAGATTTATATTGTTCCAGTCTAATGTCATGAGTATGTCACAGGAGAAATGCCTAGTAATGTGATATAAAGGACCTGTATAAAATGAGTATGTCACAGGAGAAATACCTAGTAATGTGATATATAGCACCTGTATAAAATGACCTGTATAAATCTCTTAGGGCGTTATCAAAAGTAACAAATAAAGACATTAATAGAAACATACATGTATATGTAAATAAGTTTACAACTTCAGAAAAAACAACAGTTCACGACTTAATAAATACAACAGTTTACAACTGAATAAAAACAACAGTTTACAACTTAATAAAAACAACAGTTTACAACTTAATAAAAATAAAAGTTTACAACTAAAAAGAAAACAATAGTTATTACTTTATAAAAAAACACTCCAGTTTACTACTTAAAGTTACATTAAATAAATATGTTAAAATATTTTTGCCGTCGGCCTAAAAACCAAGCATTCTACAGTTTCATTAACCTTTTTAACAGTAATGTTGTAAATCTCATCAAATATTGTTCATAAAATAGGATTTTAAATGGAAAACCCCAAGGTAACACTTAAGTTCGTATACAAATTTTAACATGCAAATGAAGACTATAATCAGCTCGTGTATGCGCTACGTCATGGAGTTATAGTTGCTATCCGGAACACAGCAAATATAAGATTTTCTTGTGCAAACACACTTTTACCGTTTAAGCTTCACGGTGCACTAGGCCTGTGGTTCAGAAAAAATAATCATCTCATAAAAAAGATTAAATTTGTATGAAAATATCCATTACAATGCGGAAATATACCGTTAAATTAGGACTGCTACTTATAGTCATGTTTGTTGATTTAATATTGATGTACGGATGATCTGAAGGCGGAGTTTCTCATGCAAACAGAAATTGTACTTCCGAATTCGCCACAATAAGGTTGCACATTAATTTTGTATGCTCATTAAACTCATTTTGGTTGCCTGGACACCAAAATAAGATCTGGAGTCGATATGAAACCCAATTTATTAATGAAATGTCGCTATTTCTTTTTTTATGAAATTTATTTAATGTTACTTTAATAAAAACTACAGTTTACAGGTTGTTTTGAAAATTTTAAAAAAAACACTGCATGAAGATAATTCCACTATGCATGAATCAAAAATAAGATAAATTTATACTGTTTTGAAAACAACTGAGATTCTATAACATTATTTGAGCCGCGTCATGACAAAACCAACATAGTGCGTTTGCGACCAGCATGGATCCAGACCAACCTGCGCATCCATGCAGTCTGATCAGGATCCATGCTGTTCGCTATTAGTTTCTCTACTTGTAGTTGGGTAAGTAAGCGAACAGCATGGATTCTGATCAGACTGCGCAGATACGCAGGCTGGTCTGGATCCATGCTGGTCGCAAACGCACTATGTTGGTTTTGTCGTGACGCGGCACATTTGATCTTCAGTATGATGTAATAATTAACATTTAAGAGGAGGATTTCAATAAAAATATAAATGTCATGATTATGAGTCTTGTAGTTTTGTAATTTGATAAAGGACCATCTATCAATCAAAATCCATGTAACAACTGTTATGGGCTTTGTATAGGGACTCCCATAATGATCTTAAATACATGTATTAATTCAGTTTCATATGAATATCTTTAGTAGTTTTGAACAGTTTAAGAATTTTCAAATTTCATAAATTTAGCTAATATGCATGTCAGAGCTATATCAGCCTTGGAAAATGGTTGCCAGATATGGTCACAAAGACATAATTAAAGATTCAAATTAATTTCTTTACTTTAATCAAGAATTTTCAAGTTCACAAAAGGCCATAATTCAGTCAAAATCACATGTATGTCAAAGTAAAGCGCCTTTTGAAAGTGACATCATGTTACAGTCATAAAAACATGCATAAAAAAAGTTTTAAGTGAATGCCATCAGTAGTTTTGAAGATTGATGTTGCACAAGTTTTAATAATTCAGTCAAAAACCATGTCAGACTTATGGAACTTTGATAGTGACCTATTATAATGATCTCAAATAAGTGAAAAGCAAAAATGGTTGATGAGATAATATGCTGTACAATAAGTGGCATATAAAACTTAGACCAAAGTGTTACATTTAAAGCATGTGTTTGTAGGATAGCTCTGACTTTTCTCCAAATAATCAAGCTAAAAATTCACAACAAATAATGTAACAGATATGTATTTTTCTTTTTAAATCATTATAATTTCAACAACCTTTTCTTCATGAAAGTAACAAACTTTTGAAATTTTTTCAGAATATGAACAAAAATTCATAAAATGTATAGAATGTAAAAATATAAATGGATTGTTGACGAACATTAGAATCAATTTTCACATACCTATGTACAAATCTAACAAGTATTAAGTATCTGGGATATATAAAATGAGGAAATCCTATTGAGCAGCAATTACATCACAGCCAGAGAGGCTTATCAGCATTTTTAAAAATACCCATTTATTGGTCTTCTTGCCTGAAAGGAGTCAATATATCATAGTGGGTTGTGTATTGCATTATTATTTCAAGAGGATAGCAAACTCTGTGGAGTATTTCTGACCGTTCTGAGGCTGACCGTTGTTGAAATTTTTTGCCCACGCTGTACAAACAATGTTAACCTGAGTGTTTGGTGGGACTGTGTTGAACTGAACCATCACAGCCGGGTACAAGTAGCCATCTGCCTCTCTCTCCAGGAAGTAAAACAAGGGAAATCCTTTTGGAGGATTATAATCAACCATAGCTGTGTAATTATCTCTCATCATTAGAGCTTGATCTTTGGCTGTCTGTAGAAATAGGAGAAAACAAACACAACTTTGATACGAAACATTCTTTGTAAAAACTCTTTGATCATTCTATATCTTAAAGGATATTTTCGGTAATTTTCATATAGACCATGTAGACATATAGTCAGGATTAAAACTGTTCAATAGAATTCCTTTAAACTTGGCATGTTGTAAAAATATGATAACAGAATAATAGGCCATTTTTAAGGGGAACAAAGACAAAGGTTTGGAGAAGAAGGAAGAAAAAGCCAATACACATATTTATCTGTTGTTGAAAGTTTTCACATTGACTCTAACAGAAGTAAGCTACATGAAAATAAGAACAAATCTAGAGCTATCATTAAAGGTGATTAATACTCCTACCAGCAACTTTGACTTTGAAAAATAAGTGGTCTAAAGAAAAATTTAAACTCAACCTATAAAAAATTAAGTATCCCCTATATACAAAGAATTATTTCAATTAATTTCAATCCCAACCAGGATCTTCATATGAACTTGCTTATCAACCAATTTTGATTACAATGTCTCATTCCTAACTCTAGTTAGCTTGACAATGACCCCAGGGGGTCCAAATGCAATACCAACCAGGGTTTCCACATAGCAAGTTTGATTATAAAACCTTATTCCTAACTCTAGTTATTGTCTGGAAACTTTTTTTTTGACCCTAGGGAGTCCAAATGCAATACCAACCAGGGTTCCCACATAAGGTTGCTATAATTATAGCAAGTTTGATTACAAAACCTCATTCCTAACTCTAAGTTATTGTCCGGAAAACATTTTTCTATTTTTAGTAACAGTGACCTTGACCCCTGGGGGTCCAAATGCAATACCAACCGGGGTCTTCATATAAGCTTGCTATACACCATGTTTGATTACAATATCTCATTTCTAACTCTAGTTATTGTCCGGAAAACATTTTTCTATTTTTAGTAACAGTGATCTATACCCCAGGGGGTTCAAATGCAATACCAACCCGGGTTTCCACATAAGGTAAATGCAATATACCATGTTTCACTACAATACCTCAATCTAAACACTAGTTTTTGTCCGAGACCATGATGTGGACTGACTGACAGACAAACCCGAGACCATGATGTGGACTGACTGACAGACAAACCCGAGACCATGATGTGGACTGACTGACAGACAAACCCGAGACCATGATGTGGACTGACTGACAGACAAATTGACTCCAAGATACCCCTTAAACTTCATTTGTGGGGGTATAATTAGTCACTTTTCCGCTTAAACTGGTTTACATGTTATGTTTATTCTTCTTTGTAACTGATAAATAGATTTCTTGTTATACACATACATAATGTCTATAAGTAAGGTTTCTTTTTTCTATTAAGCAGATTGACATTGATTGATATTTTAACTAACCTTCCCCTCACAACTCAAAGCTACACTCTTATTTGAGAACCTATTCCCAATCTTCTTCTTTATGTCAACATTCTTACCATCACTGAAGTCAAATGGCTGTGGTGTCATGTTATCATCCTGTAAATTATGTTGAAAAACTTTCTTAATATAGAAATTTTCTTTATAAATTCCCCTTTTTTCCCCTTTCCTTTAAAATTTTCTTTTAAAACCTTTTGGTTTGATTTTTTAAATTTTCATCCTGTAAATTATGTTGAAAAACTTTTCTTAATATAGAAATAAAATTTTCTTTATAAATTCTATATTTTTAAATTGCATTTTTTTTTAAAAAGGAAAAACTTTATTATTTTTTGGTTGTTTAATAACATTCTTTATAACATATGAAAATGGTAGTTTGTTTTTTTAATTTTTGGGCTTTTAAAATCTCCCCCTTTATTTGGGTTAAAATTATGTAAAAAAACTTTTTAATTTTGATCAAAAATTTGGGCGAATTGATGGGGGCCCCTTAAAGGCATTCATTGCTTCAATATATTCCCCTGATTACAAATATAAGGGCAATACAGGGATAGGGGCCCCTTTCGACAACGAAAAAGGAAAACCGATAGGATTTTTAAAAAGCCCGCAGGGTGACGGTACGCACTAAGCATTTGGGGGCGGGGTAAGCTTGGAGGAAATTTTTTTGGGGTGCCCATTTTTAAAGGGACAGAAAGGGTGTCCTTTGGCCCCGGAAACATCCGTTTTTTTCCCGGGTTTAACCCCGATTTTTTGGCACGTGTATTTAAACAAATTTTACGTCCACTTTAATATAGGGGCGTATACAGAACAGTGTTAGTTGGGGACTGACATGTTAAATTTACTGAAAAACAAGAGAACACGATGCGACAGACGAAAAGTGCGTGTTTTTTGAAGATTCCGCCAGCAATGCGGATAAAAAGTTATATATGTCTCTAATAACTCATCCTACAAGTGGCAACTCACCTCTTATACAATTGTTTACACTTCTTTTTGAGCGTGTGTGATAAGTGAAATTGAATTTTATCAAACTTAAAGATGGCACAAAGGTGACATGTGTGTGTTTTTATTTTATCTCGTGCGCACGAGTTTTCTGTGTCGTGGCCACGGGTTACTAAGTCGTGGCCACGAGATAGTTAAGTCGTGGGAACGAGATAATATGTTGTGGCCACGAGTTACTAAGTCGTGGCACGAGATAATTAAGTCGTGGGAACGAGATAACTAAGTCGTTCCCACGACTTAATTATCTCGTAGCCACGAGATAAATAAGTCGTTGGAACAAGTTACTATGTCGTGGCCACGAGAAAGTTTAGTCGTGGCCACGAGAAAGTTAATTCGTGCGAACGAGATAAATAAGCAATCAAATTACACTATTTATATGAATTTTTCCCTAACAAGGATGCCCCTACTTCAACTTGCCCGTAAAAGTGCCATTTATACAAGTTATTGATTGGTCAAAGATTTAGCGTCATTATGACCCTGATTTCTGGACCAAAATTGCCTAAAAATTATTAGGTGTCATCTACTGATCTTTTTAGGTTATATAAACTACGGCTTATTCTTTCTAAAATCATTCATCAGACGCAAGGATTTTACATGAAGTGTCATTGTTTATCTGACCTGTGACCTCAAACATCCTTATATGATATCTACTGTCCATGGGAAATGTCCCTTCCCAATAAAATAAACCAGGACTAAGTCCCTCTCAAGTTATGGTATGAACAATGTTAACAGGCCTTTGTACGTACAAAATGACCAATTCTTTCAAAGAATTGTCCCAACAAAGGGCTATAACTTAGTCAAAATTAATGTCTGATTTATGGGCCTTATGATCCTAAAGACATGTATTAAGCTCAAAGTGAACACTTCAGTATTTTCAAGGATTAATGTAGAAATTTTCTAAGTTAAAAAATCATGGTGTAATCTGATTGGTGAATTATCTCGTCTGCACGACTTAGTTATCTCGTTCCCACGACTTAAACGACTTAGTAACTCGTGGCCGTGACATAGTATCTCGTGGCTACGATATAGTATCTCGTTCCCACGACTTAACTATCTCGTGGCCACGACACAGTATCTCGTGCGCACGAGATAAATAAAATCACACACATGTCACTTAGTAACTCGTGGCCACGACTTAGTACAGTACAAACTTGATTTTTTTTTTGTAAAATAAAATAAATATAATTTGGCTTCACACAAACATTGTGCTTTAAATCCTTTACACTGTAAGTGGGCAGTATGAATATTCACAAAAATATACATGTATATGGAAGTTTCTTTTAAAGACAGGCACAACTTTACTTGACCCGTAATAAGGAAAAAGCCAGATTCCTATACATTATGTGTATGTGTTTTTCTTTAAATAAAACATATTTAGTAAGAATTTTTATAGACTTCAATAAATTTCTGTGATATAAAAAATATATTACTGAAAGATGTGCATAGTATATCTTTAAGCACAAATGTATGTGAAATGTGGTGGTGTGTGTCGGGATGTCTGATCTATAATCAGAAACACACATATGCCAAACATTTATTAATTGACTATGCACATGTCACAAAAATAAACAACTTCCTTCTTTCCTTATTATACATGTATATTTTAATGTGTTACATACCTATCCGCAACTATTAGTGACTCTGAGACATTTATTAATTAAAAGGCCAATTAAAAGTATTTTTAAGTCAAGTCATTAGATGAACCTTAGGCAGGTGCAATTGGACAATTGATAACTGTTTTGAGATATATGGGAGTACACTAATGACCTGGGACGTATTGGTCATGATTTACGTAAAATTCCCCACCCCAGCTCATAAAGATCTTTGGGGGTAGGTGCCCCCCTTTTTAACCCAAGGCCTAAAACCCGGCCACTTACGTATAAACTCCCCCATTGAAAACTGTTTACGGAGCATTTTTTTTTCTTTGGACTGTATACATATACATGTTTTTAAAAATTATTTTGGATAATCCTTACTTTTGGGTATTTATATTTTTTCCCAAAGGGGAAATTTTATTTATTAAGCGTTTTTGGTACTAATTTAATAGCATTGCCCCCCCTCTGTTTTTTTAACCGTTATAACCAGGGAGGGCCCTAACGGTTTTCCGAATAATACTTTGTCAAAATTTCCGATGATGGGGCCCGAATCAGGGAAAAACCCGGGTTGATATGGGTAACAGGGGTTCTCCCCCCTTTAAAAAGGGGTTCACAAAAATTTCGCTGGGACATTTTTTTAAAATTTGTTTTTTCCTATGGGTTTAAGTTTGGATCAAACATAATTCCCAAAGCCTCGGGACACGAGCTTTATTAAGCAAAACATTTTGAAAATTTTGGATATAAGCGAAGTTATGGGGAATCCCCCAAATTGCGAGCTGTAAATCAAATAAGTCACTTTTTAAAAAAATTTTCCCGGGGAAAACAAAAAAAAGTAATTTTTAATGATTTTACATAAAAGTAAACAGAAAAAACCCTAAACCGAAAAATGTTTTGAAAGGGAGCATGAAGAAACGGAGATACAAAAGGGGTATAGGGAGGGGGTTTAACATTTTAATTTTCCCAAAGGGCTCGTTCCATTTTTAATAGTTACATCAATAAAAGGGGTTTGCCAAATTCGAAATTTAATGAAAAAATGAAAAAGGGGGAAAACCCCCCGGGGGGAAATTAAATTTGCAAGGGTTTAAAATTATCAATTAAAAGAAGGAGGGGGGTTTCAATTAAAATTTTCCAAGGGTTTAATAAGGAGCGATTGGAATTAAGCAAAAAATGAAATTTTCCAATTTTCAAGCAAGAGGGAAATTAAAAGCATAATCAAGTTCAAATTTGTCACCCAAGCAAAAGGAATTAAAGCATAATGCAATTTCTAATGTCATCAAGCAAATAAAATTTAAATGCCATTAATTCTTTCCCATAAAGAAAACGAGACTTTTTTGGTTTTTAATTTTCTAAATGTTCTTTAAAAAAATGTTTTTAATCCATTCAAAAGGGCCCCCATTTGTATAAAATAAATCAAAAGGGTGACATAAAAAAAATGAAAAATGCAATTAATCAGTTTTTAACATGGCCAAATAGCAAATTTAAATTTCGCAAAAATATTTGGGCTTAAAAACTAATGTACGGGGTTAAAAATTTATTTTGAAAAACCCAAAGATGGAAAAGGAAAA